AATATTTGAGCTGATTATTTACTTTCCCCTTGCACATTGGCAAGCCTGCTGTTTGTTAACCAATGGAGTTCACTGTTCTTCTGCTCAAGGTAAAGTATATACTGCAATCTGTTTGAAATAAAGAAGTTTTTTTAATTAAAAAAATAACCTTTTATAAATATACCAAAGTCCTTCCGATAACCGTCCAGCTGCAGCTTGATACAAAATTCACCAGGAAATAAATCTCAATGGTCTCAACTTAATTTCAAAGTATAAAATTATAGGAACTGCAAAAAATGGCCTGCAGATTACCCATCTCATGTAGATTACCTTACCCAACAGTAAACAGATATTTGTCATTTCTTCTGCCCTTTACACCCTCATATTTTCATTATAACTGGAATAGATCTTTTTATTCAAAAAGATAAAACAGCTGAACAAATGAAGCAAAAACCAATAATGGTGGCAGAACAGCTTAAATAATACATTATTGAATCAAAGATGCTTTTAAAATTGAGACAACTTTTTGTCCCAAATAGATAGATTCACATATCATATGTGGCTTGCATGTTGTGATGCGTGGAGTCAGCATAGTAATTAGTAAATTGTAACCTCTTTAGTCCATTATAAAAAGCAGGAATTATTTGTTCACTAAACCATGATTAAATCAACCATGATTTAGTGAAGTGTAAAGCGTGGTACTGAAGATACAAAAATTTGTAGGGGAATAGGAAGATGAAGTAGTATTAGGTGTTCACTGCATTTAATTATTTATAAAATAATAAAGGCAGGAGAAACCTAAGTAAAAAGAATTTTTTTTAAAGATTATCCTTAAAAACCTTTTCATAAACCTTTTTCTACACTATTTTCCATTTAATGTATTTTCTAGTTGGCACTGATTTCAGCAGAAACAAAAGATGATCTTACTACAGTACCCAGGCAAAGAGATGGGATTTATATATGAAATTTAAAAAAATATCCTGCAAAATAATATAACATTTTTTCAAAAAAACAAGTTTCTTTAGCTTTGAAACAATGCAGAGAGAGAGTTCAGGTTCTCTCTCTCAAATTTCTATCCTGTTAGATCGTGCTTGAAAAATATAATAATTTAAATAATATAATATCACATGACCTTGGGGATGCTGCAAAGGTCATAAGAGTGAGAACAAGTCATAAATCAATTTTTCAATGCAGTTGTAACTTTGAATAGTTATTAAAATGAATGTAAACGACTATTTGACTTGACAAGAACTGGATGCTTATGGTGGCCTATAACAGCTAAGAAATTGGCAGCTGTGACCTCCCTTTTTTGCATATATAATATTAATCTTGCAAAATAAATGCTTGCTGTTCTTAGCATGCGTACACATCCTCAGGACATCGTGTCTGGGTTACCAAAATTAGCCTTGGCTTCCATTCTAAATCTAAATCCCGTAATGGGTGTGGACTATAAAATTGATAGTAATGTTGTACTTAAATGTTCTGAACATTTAACACATCCTGAACTATTTCCCAAGTTTCTTTGCAAATATGTGACAAACAGACAGCTAACATCTCATTGTTTTCGTTAACCTAAAACGTTCACCTCACAGGAATTGAATCAAACTATTATTTGCATAACAAATATAATTTAGAAAGTTTGAACAAATCTCATACCAATTTCACCTTTCTTATCAGCTTGAAAGGGACGTGGTAATCTAGACCTAATCTTCTTTGTATTTCCACATGCATAATCATTTAGAAGTTCTTGAGAAATCAGTAAGCAAGCTACAAAAAAGGTCAGAATTGCTTAGTTGGGATATACTAGGATTCATTTTGGCCTCTAAAAATGCATTGCACATTATTTTATTATTGTTTTGTTTCTGGAAAAACATTTCTAAGGACACATTTGCAAAAGCAAAACTAAATAGAGAAGAACATCTTATCTCCTTTAGCTTTCTGATATATTATGATGCATTCTTTTCTTGGGTTAAACATTGAAAAGTAATCATTTTATAGTGTTTTTATTCTTTTAGCTAGTAATCTGTCAGACACTATTTCTGTGTTCATTTCTTTATATTTATATATAATCTGTTGTACTGTCAACTGCAAAAGTCCCATGATAATTTTCTAGGCACATTATAAATAATGTAAATAAATACATAATCGTGCTCATTTTCTGGGATAAATTTAACGATCCGTATCTATACAATACTGAAAAAAGTGCTGTTTATATTGTATTCCAATACGATTCTATACACATTTATCCAAAATTTCTGCTGCTAAGTGAGACAGTTATTAAGTGAATTTTGCCCCATTTTATGACCTTTCTGGCCCCAGTTGTTGAGTGAAGCACTGCAAGTTGTTAAGGTGGTAACCTGGTTGTTAAGTCAATCTGGCTTTCCCAATGACTTAGCTTGTCAGAAGGACGCAAAACAGGAATAGTATTCAGCAGGTTCTGAACAGTTTTGGAGAACCAGTAGTCGAAATGTTGAGTAGTTCGGAGAACTGGCAAATCCCACCTCTGACTGGAGATTTTACGGTATTCTTCCCCTGCCACGCGCACCAAGCCAGACCCACAGAACCGGTAGTAGAAGAATTTGAATCCCACCACTGGCGCAAAAGGTAATCACATGACCTTGGGACATTGCAACTGTCATAAATATAAGTCGGATGCCAAGTGTCTGAAGTTTAATCATGTGACCGAGGGGATGCTGTACGTGTGAAAAATGGTCACTTTTCCAGTGTCGCTGTGACTTTGAATAGTCACTAAATTGAACTGTTGCAAGTCAAGGACTACCTTTAGCATAGGCTGGAGAAAAACATCAGTGAGTTGGAACAGAGCTGTCTGTTCCAACCCTTTGAACTGCTACATCAAATGTGATTTGGAAAACTCCCGATTTCAGTGTTGAAATAAGATTAATATTCTAGTGCAATTAATTTCTGCCTGTGGATTGAAATGATAGCCACTTCATGACCTGCTTTATTTATCCCAGATTAAGAAGTCACTTAAGAAAAGTTTCAGGGGAAAATATTAATATATTTCTGTTGGGATATTATACAATTATGGAAAACTGGGTTAATAAATATGCATGATTTATAAGAAGATGAGAAATTAATGTCTGATATCTGGTCTAATTTTCATTTTTATTACAGGCCACCCTCTGATTTCAAGTTACAAATTCTAAATTACAATTGTTACAATCTTATCTGGAGCCCATTTACCTTCACCTTCAGAAATTAAAAATTGGTAACTGATCATAAAAATTTGATGAGGCTAAAATCCCTGCATGAGTTTTTAAATGTTAACTGTTTTGGTTTTAGTTTCTAAATTATTATGAGATGCTGCCTTAACTGAAAGCAATATGTGGGGGAAAAAATCAATTTTTTGCACATTTCACTAGGCCATAGGACACATATGAGACAAAATGTACATTTCTATGATGTTATTTACAGTCATATCTACCCATAAGGTAGAGAAACTAAGACTAATAGCAGTTATTTTTCTGCTGCAGCATCTTACTTAATCAATCAATCAATCAGAATAGATCTAGAAGGAACATTGAAAGTATTCTAGTCCAAACCCTGATCAAGCAGGAGACCATATATCATTTCAGTTAAGTGGTTGTCCAGTTTTTTCTTTAAAACACCCAGTGATGAAGCACCCACAACCTCTGGTGGCAAGCAGTTCTACTGGTTAACTGTCCTCGCTGCTAAGTTTCTCTTTAGTTTCAGGTTGCTTCTCTCCTTGATTAGTTTCCACCAATTGTTTCTTAGGATGCTTTGAAAAATAGTTTGACCTCCATACATATATATGTATGGAGGAGAGCTGATGGTTTTATGTTTTGTTTGTTTTGAAAAAAAATCAATAAAATTGTTTTTTTTTAAAAAAGAAAAATAGTTTGACCTCCTTCTTCTTTGTGGAATCTTTGTGGAATCTTTCTTCTAGAAATTAAACTGAGTACTTTCTGAATGCTTTTAAAACCTGAACTTTCCCAAGAGGGAATTATTGTGACTGTTCCTAACCAGGTGTCCTTTTTTTACTATTAGGTGCTGTAATTATTATAATTAAATGCTGTGTTTTGATGCATTCACTTTCTCTGGTTTTTACTATATTGTAACCCCTTGTGTATCGATTTGCCAATGTACAAATACACAAAGAAATAAGTAAAATATATCTGGTGGTAGCTTTGAATAATGGTAGGGGGGTTGTTTTTTTTGGTAATATGAGATATCTTACTATAAATGTCTATCAGGATTTTCATTCACTAAAAAGCTAGGATCTGCTGGTCAATAGGAAACCCGAGTTAGCACCTATATAATATGTAATTTAAATGATTGTTGCTGTAGGATAAAAAGCAATGAAAGCAATAGAATCACTTCTTCATTACATAAACTAATCCTGCCTCATACTTCCTAGGTTATCTTTCGCTATAATTCTGTTGCCCTTAATGTGATAAAACAATTTTACCAATTTGAGCTCTCTTTGTACCCTCATCATCAGGGTGCAGAAGTATTGTTTGCCCTATGATATTTTTAAACTGAGCAAGATCGGGTGAGCTAGAAGAAATTAGAGGCCATGCAGACAAAGAAAAGAGCTATATTTTTCCTTTAGTGCTAATTAAAATGGAACAAAACTGCTGTCTTGTATTACACTCAGAAACTTTTAATATCGAAGACTTTTTTCTCTCTCACGAGTCATGTTTACCAAAATTTAGCTTTTCCCCCTAAGAGCAGAAGGGAGAAATTGTGAGAGCCAGCAGCTCTTGAAATTCTTATCTTTTGCATTCAGGTCCTTCAAACAAGCAAGTCAGCCTTATTGCAAATGATTACTGGAAGACATTGCTTCATAGGACAAGTTATCCTTCCATAGTTTTTTTCTGGCAGAGATAAGTCAGGAACATCTAGTGTTGAAAAATGCAATGAATGGGTGCCAGCAAATTCTGGAGACACTCCCACTAGAGCCGGAAGGGGCTGTCCTCCTTATGTGTCAGCCCCACCTATTTTCACCCACTAAATGCCACATGATCTTTTAAGCTGCCCCTGCACAGTTTGGAGAACAGGTTTAGTTCTCTGAGGTCCACAAACTCACATTGGTTAAGCACTACTGATCCTGTGTTTGCAGTTCTGGAAGCTACGGACACAATGCTGCCAAAATTTCACAAGTGGCTACCTCTTCTATTTTTCTTCTTTTCAACTTGTACTGCAGTAAGTTTACCTGGGCAGGGTATGGACCAGTGTAAAATACGTAGATATCATAATGCCTGAAATGTCATGCTGTTTTTCTCTCTCTCTTTTATTCAGACTTTTGCCACGCGTGAAAACTGCTGTATCTTGGATGAACGATTCGTAAGTCAATATCTGTGTTATTTTTTCAGTCCTTTATAATCAGGTTGTTACTGTAGATTGTTAGCTGTAAACATGGATTTCTTACTAAAGTCCAGGACTCTTTTGACTGGCCATCAGTATAGGAGTTCATTTGTCATCTTGTTTATGTTTACACTTCTATTTATCTTATATGTATAGGAAAAAAAAGCTCTATTATCAGGCTATAAAATATCTCTTGTTAGTTGATACGATTTTTTAAAAATTTCTAGGGAAACTTTTGTCCTACAACATGCGGCGTTGCAGATTTCATAACTAGATATCATTCGGATGTCAACCGAGATCTTCAGAACCTTGAACGATTGTTGGGAGACATTTCCAATTCTTCGGGAGTAACTGACAATTTGATACGCCATATCCGACAAGTGCACGTCTCACAGCCAGCAGCTCAGTCAAGTGAGAATCAAAGTCTACTGTAAATAGTTTTACTATTTCAATGGTTTGGTTTGCTATCCTTAATATTTTATGCACGTCCTGCTTTTTTATTCTTCCTACAGATGTGATTCCAGGTTATACACAGAAGTCCAGACAAATCATTGATGAAATTGTCAGATATGAAAACATCATTGTGGGACATGAAAATACCATACAGTAGGTTTAATTATTATTATTTTTTTCAGTGTAGAGAATGCAACAACATACTATGGATTGAATTAAAGGGTTTCCATCTATTTTATTCCAGCAGAATTTCTGCTGATGTATGGGAACCAAATCTTCCTTTCGTGTTGTCCATGTCAAATTAGTTGTCTAATTTAAAAACAGGCATCAAAGAAAGTTAAAATGTTTATATTGTAGTTTATACTACAATATGTACCTTATTGGGGTAGATATGAATAGAGCCAGCCTTATTCTTGTTAATTTAAAAGAAGCAGAGAGTTTATAGACTATTGAATTGCTTTGTATTTTAACTAAAGCATAATTACTTATTTTTAAAAAGAACCTTTATATTTTACAAAGGATAAAGAATAGCATAAAGATATAGTGTTATCTCACTAGATAGATAGATAGATAGATAGATAGATAGATAGATATTGTTGAATTTTAGCTCCCCATATTTTCCTTTGTTGGTTACAATGATTAAAGTTATAGTTACCAATTTTTAATAGATTTTAGACTCCCCATATCAGCTTAAGGCTGAATGATTTATTCATTTTAGACCCTTTCTAGTTTCCTTAGTTTGAATTGTATGTTTATAGTTGCACTTTTTTTTTTCATTCTGGGCCTTTTGTCTGTAATTTGGGAAGAAAAATAGTATACAAATAGAAGAAGAATATTACAGTGCCCCATGTAAGCATATATACGGAGGCTGATCTGCAAACTGATAGTCCCATTCTCTTGTTAAACACTAAATAGATAAAGAGGCAAGGACATTTTAGAATCCCACCTCAATCTACATATTCAGTGGATAGAGGTAATGCATACTGGTATTTTCCCTTTATTTCATTTAATGCTGCTTCCTTTCGTAGAAGGAAAGACCATCATATGTGAGTTTCAAGTGCTTCTACCTGTATGATAAATTTATATTGTACTTTTTAAACTCCAGGCAATTGACAGACATACTGATATTAAACAATAACAAGATTCAGTTACTAAAGCAGAAAACTGCTCAGCTAGAGGCACAATGTCAACAGCCATGTAAAGACACTGTCCAGATACAAGAATTAACTGGAAGAGGTAAGAGTAACAAACTGCTATATTGATTTGCTAACACTAAAAATTTCTGTTTTCCTCTGAAGAACTGTTTACCAAACCAAAAGTACATTTTGCTCCATTACAATCTAATCTGCCATTGATTTTAAAAAGCATTTCTTTAACATATTATAAATTAGCAGAAATAATTAGTTGACTTATCTGTTTTAGATTAAATTTATCTTGAGAAGATATTAAGCAGCAAAATAGAGGCAAAATGTTAACAAAACAAATTTGAAACGTGCTCTACCTATTTTGTAATTGAAAAAAAAAAATAGATTGATTTCAGTAGATATTAACAACTTAAGCTGTAGATGTTATGACTACAATTATCTTTTGACCTCAGTTGTAAAAACACCTTATAGATCAATTTAGCAGTAATTACATTCTTCATTTTAATAATCAAATATCCTTAGAATTAGAATTTTGGATATTATGATCTAATGTTTTATGTTAAATTAATGGCATTTAAAATTATTGTCATACGGAAGCAATCTACAAATAAGCCACTAAGAAACTGTATGCAAAAGCATTTTAACCATGGCTTCAACATTGGTGTAAAGCAGGGGTTGTCAACCTTTTAATACCTACCGCCCACTTTTCTATCTCTGTTAGCAGTAAAATTTTCTAACTGCCCACCGGTTCCACCGTAATGGTGATTTATAAAGCAGGGGACAAAACCCCTACCGCCCACCATGAAAGCTGGAACGCCCACTAGTGGGCGGTAGGGGCCAGATTGACTACCACTGGTGTAAAGCATGTTGGCATAAAGATAATAATAGAGCCTCAGTGATGCAGTGGTTAGAGTGCAGTACTGCAGGCTACTTCTGCTGCAACCAGCTGCCTGAAATTTGGCAGATCTAACCCCACCAGGTTCAAGGTTGACTCAGCCTTCCATCCTTCTGAGGTGGGTAAAATGAGGACCCGAATTGTTGGTGGCAATATGCTGACTCTGTAAATCACTTAGAGAGGGCTGCAAAGCACTATAAAGCAGTATATCAGTCTAAGAGATATTTCTATAATGCAAAAATATTCTATGCAGAAGTGGTTTATCATGACTGCATACATATCATACTATGCCCACTAAAAGTTGCCCTTAAGTTGTAATAAGATGTAAATGGGAGAAATATTATTTGTATTTAGCTTATTTAATCTCAAATTAATTACATGTAAATGAAATAAAAGCACCGATTATTGACTTTGAACTACTGACTTCCAGGTCTTGGAAACAACAATTTCTTAAATTATTAAGTATGACCTTCCAACATGTTACTCCAAGGTTGATTTGGGCCAAAAGAAGTTGGCCCTTTTTCCCCCAGATGGATTCTTATCAACAAGCAGATGAGAAGCTAACAGAAGATAATGTTTCCATAGCTCTTAAGGCTAAAGATAGGAAACATACTATTGCCACTGGTCACTGGTTGAGATGGATGGCTATAGTAACTGAATAAATAAATAAGTAAGCAAATAAGCAGTGGTAGGATTCAGCCAGTTTGCACCAGTTTGGGAGAACCAGTTGATAACTTTCTGAGCAGTTTAGTGAACTGGTTGCTGGAAGAACTCATTACGGCAGAGAACGGTTGTTAAATTATTTGAATCCCACCACAATAAGTAAGTAAGTAAGTAAGTAAGTAAGTAAGTAAGTAAGTAAGTAAGTAAGTGAAGGAGTGGCATAACCTAGAGTGGAGTTAAAAGAGAGAAAAGCCTAGGATCTCTACATAACCACAAGTGAACTAAGTTCCCTCCCCTTGAATTTCATTGACCCTAACTCCTAGCAGGTGCTAACTGTTAGTTGAGAATATTCCTATGCATAGGCATGAGTAGCAATAAATCAGTTTAATTGTATCTTCATGTGTGGACCTGATTGTCCCTCACAAATATCTGTTAATGCTTTAAAGTAACTAGAGCATTTTTTTTCCACTTGTAAATTTTCTGTGGAGGTCAAGGAAAAACCATTTTCAGATGAAACATTAAAGTTGAAAAACAGATATATGTTCATTTCGGTTGAAACAAAACGGGAACTAGTTTTACAATAATGAAGTATCAAACAAAAAATATACTTTATAATTCTGCTCATGTTACTTTATTTATTCTCATAGCTGCTTTTTGTGTAGGACCACCAATAATTCTTAAATGGGCTTCTTGTATACTTACCTTAGGCCATGAGGACTAATGGAAACATTTGCAGACATTTTCTAAACATATGACCCATCCGGCCTTATTGATCTATATTGGCTAGTTTTACGTAACGTGCTTTATCGCAAAATACAGTTGCTATTTCCATAACATGCTAAGGTGCAGGAATAAACCAAAGTATAGCTTCTTCTTTCATTCAGTATGCTAAGGCAAAGATTGGTTCCCATTGTTTTAAGCTAATTTCTGTACTGATTGAACCTTAGTTATATTCTCTGGCTGTCTATGAGAGGGATTTTGGAAACCTAATGGACAATCATTTACATACGAGACAGCGGTCTGTGGCAGCATCCAAGAAAGCCAATGCAATCCTAGGATGTATTAACAAAAAGATAGAATCAGGATCACATGGAGTACTAATACCACCTTACAAAACCTTTGTAAGACCACACCTGGAATATTACACCCTCTTTTGGTACTTATCACATTATTAAAATACATTGAGACTTTGGAAAAAGTGCAGAGAAGAGAAGCAAAGACGGTTAGGGCTCTGAAGATTAAGCATGATGAGCAGGAATTGGATATGTCTAGTCTAGGGAAAAGAAGGGCCAAGGGACACATGATAGCCCTGTTCCAATATTTGAAAGGCTGTCACAAAAAAAGAAGAGATCCACCTATTTTTCCAAAGCACCAAAAGGCAAGACAAGAAACAATGGATGCAAACTAAGAGAGATACAACCTAGAACTAAGGAGAAATTTCTTGACAGTGAGAACAATCAACCAAAGGAACACCAGTTCCTTGGTGGTATTCTACTGGTTCGACCCAGTTCGGATGAACCGGTAATAAGAAATGCTACCGTTCAGCCAAACCGGTAGTACAGGTATTTCTTTTTCTTTTTTCCCCTCCTGACGATCAGCTGTTCCGACAATCAGCTATGCCAGGATCAGGAGTGGGATGCTATCCGTTCTGCGGCTCTATAGAACAAAGCGAAGCACACATGCACACGCAAAACGTAATCACCGAACCAGTAGTATCCCCCTCGCTGTCTTACTGCTTCCCCCAGGAGGCTTCCCTCAGGACCAGGAGGCTAAAAGTGGTATGTGGCGAGTAGCAGGTCCCCCTCTCGTATCATTTTTTGCCTCCTGGGCCTCAGGGAAGCCTTCCCTGAGACCCAGGAGGCCAAAGAATGGAGTGGGGGAGGAGGCTGCTGCTGCTGCTGCAGAAAAGCCACGCCCACCCAGTCACATGGCCATGCCCACTGACCCACGCTTACCTAGCCACACCCACAGAACCGGTAGTAAAAATATTTGCATCCCACCCGAGGAACCCCTTGCTTTCAGAAATTGTGGATGTTTTATATCACTGGAGGCTTTTAAGAAGAGACTGAACAGACACTTCTGTGGAATTATATAGGGTCTCCGGCCTGAGCAAGGGTGGATTAGAAGATTTCTATTCCAACTCTGATATTCTGTTCTGTTCTGTTCTACTCCACTCTACTCTACTCTACTCTACTCTACTCTACTCTACTCTACTCTACTCTATTCCTATCATTTCGTTTGAACGAATGTGAACAATCTTTGGGGCAACGAGTCCAGATGCTTAGAAGCCTGACCATATGTTTCAATTTCCATCATAAAAAAATTCAGTAACCAAATAAATTCCAGTACCTATAACAGTGAGGCTTTGGTTTGGATACAAACTCCTATAAGTTTTGTATTATATGATCTTGAAATCATTTATTCCAAAGCAATTCAGTATGTATAGTTGAGGAAAACTAGGGGAGTAGACCCTCCATTGCAACAGGAATGCTTGGAGTCCAATCTTTTCTTCCTTACAGGATAGATGTGAGATTAAAGGGATTTTTTTTTAAAAAAAATGTATTGTGTTGTGAGTTCTTTTAGCAAGACAGAATGAGAACATAATAAACCATCGTTTAAAACAAAGAGGGGTTTTTTTTAGAGTTAATTAAAAATGAATCTAGTGCTTCATTCCATTATTACAAGCCGCTTCTCTCTTTCATATTAATTATAGATTGTCAAGACATCGCTAATAAAGGCGCACGGCAGAGTGGGCTGTACTTCATAAAACCCCTGAAAGCCAAACAACAGTTCCTGGTGTACTGTGAAATCGATAATCTGGGCAATGGGTGGACAGTTTTACAGAGGGTAAGCATATCATACAAGAAGAAGAAGAAAGATACAGCAAAGGAGTGCGAGGCCCAATAATATATCATCTCTATCTGCCTTCTGTTTTATTTACAGAGGCTCGATGGCAGTGAAGACTTTAACAAAAACTGGATTCAATATAAGGAAGGTTTTGGACATTTGTCACCCAATGACAACACAGAATTCTGGTTGGGAAATGAAAAAATTCATTTAATAACTACTCAGACTACAGTTCCATATGCCTTGAGAATAGAGTTGGAGGACTGGAGTCACCAAAAAAGGTATAGATTTCTTTACCAGCTCAAGGTTCATAATTAACCTAACGGGGATTGGCAAAAATTGCTGTTCTAGCTACCTGCACTTTACTTGCGCATGCACATAAGGGGCATGATAAGATCACTGGAACTAGTTGTAATGCTGCCATGGTGGTTCAGTGGTCAGAATGCAGTACTGCAGGCTACTTCTGCTGACTGCTGGATATCAGCACTTCAAAAGTTCATGTTGTGGTTAGCCGGCAGCAGGTGAGATGGCTGAGGAGAGCGAGGATTCTGATGAAGGGCCAGAACCATCAGGGAGCAGACTGCTGCCTTCAGAGATTGTGGGGGCTGGCAGCAATGATGATGAGGTTCCCGAGGAGCCTGTGCCAAGTGCACGTGCATGAAGGATTGCTCGGATGAAAGAACAATTACAGCAGCACAGGCAACTCGGGAGTAAGGCTTCAAGGTAAAGGCCCTTCCTCAAGAGGATAAGAGCCGACAGCAAAGAAGCTCTGAAACTCAACTGGTGGATATCTTAGTTCGTGTTTAGAGAATCTTGTAAATTAGTTCTTATCTCTGGGTTTTTGACAGCTTTGTCAAACAACTTGACAAGGCTCTTTCTTGTAGGGGCTAATATTGGAAAGCAGCCTTTTATCTGTAAAGGAACAGAATTGTGATTGAACCTTGAAAAGTGGGGGTTGCTGCCTTTGTGTTTGCTCTCTGGGAACCTGGTTGGATCAGAACAGTTTGATTCTCACCAGGTCAAAGTTGACTCAGCCTTCCATCCTTCCGAGATGGGTAAAGTGAGGACCCTAATTGTTGAGGGCAATATGTTGATGCTCTAAACCGCTTATAGAGGGCTGTAAAAGCGCTGTGAAGCGGTATATAAGTCTAAGTGCTATTGCTATTCTACAAACTAAATGTACTGTACTTCAAACCCATTGAATCAGTGGAATTTAAATTGCTTTTAGCCAATGTGTTCATTAGCTATGGGATTGGGACAAAAAATGATCAACTTATAATAAAGTATGATAATATTACTTAGGGTTAGTTTGTTTCATCCATTTAAAATAAATAGCTATTTGTTTCAATAGTGTCTGCAACAGGAATGATCATATTTTCTCCATTATTTGCTTGTCTATGTAGATCCTGTGTATTTGCATAACTCCTGAAATTAAGTATTTTAATAATGTTTCAGGAATGAATGCAAAGTCCACAAGAATAGTGATTTTCTTTCTCCCCCCCACCCCCAGCTATGCAGATTATGCCCATTTCAAATTGGGAAACGAAGCTGACAAATTCCGTTTGACCTATGCCTTCTTTGTTGGCGGTGAAGCTGGCGATGCCTTCGATGGGTTTGATTTTGAAGAAGATCCCAGTGACAAATTCTTTACTTCTCACAACGGCATACAGTTTAGCACACACGACAACGATAACGATAAATATGAAGGCAACTGTGCTCAGCAAGATGGATCTGGCTGGTGGATGAATAGATGTCATGCTGCCCATCTGAATGGCAAATATTATCAAGGTAATGTTTGGAAGTTCCCGTATGCACAGCTCAATCTATGAAGGAGACATTTCCCATACAGCTGCTTTCTGCCTTTCCCAGCAGTTTTTAACTTACAGCCTTTTTTCATGCCATTTTTGCCTTTTTAAAAAAAATCATGAAATATCATTTAAGAAGGAATGGAATTTAACAAAATTAGATCTAATTTTTTTGGTTATTAGATCTCAATTAAACATATCTATTAAAAGATCAATCTAATTTATCCCCGTGGAACTTCTAAATAAGCATTAAAACATAAGGAGACGATTGAAAATGTCTTTGCTGGTTTGACTCTCAAGGGCAGTCACATTGCCCTCAAGGTTAATAGCCATTGATACCTATGATTTTCATGAACTGATGCAGTCTTTTTTTGAAACCAGCCAAACTGATACACAGCACAATTCATGATAGCAAATTCAATTTTGGATTATAATTCATGAAGAAATGTTAAACATTATGTCTGTAGCAGTTTAATACCATTGTACTTGATCATAGAATAAATAAAATTGCATAATGCTCACCTAGCATGGTCTAAAATTTATATATATATATATGATATTCAACTTTGCTCGGGTATTTTCCCACGTCATTGTAGTTGTGCTTTTAAAGTTGTAGCAACGTTTCCGCAGAATCTCATCTGCCATCATCAGGCTTCTGTATTGTGAATAATACAGAATACAGAATACTTCCACAATACAGAAGCCTGATGATGGCAGATGAGATTCTGCCAAAACATTGCTACAACTTTAAAAGCACAACTACAATAACGTGGGAAAATACCCGAGCAAAGCTGAATACCATACATGTAAGTACCCGCGAAAACTTAATTAATAAAATTAAGATACCTACACAGATATCCCAAAGCTATGTAAAAGTATTTCCTGGCTCATTAACATTTTACTTTTTTTTCCCACATTGTAGGAGGCGTTTATAGTGAGAAAGATGCCGGTCCAAATGGCTTTGACAATGGCATTACATGGGTAACTTGGCGTAATCGGTGGTACTCCCTGAAGAAAACAGCTATGAAAATCATTCCTTTCAGCAGACTTTCAATTGTAACAGGGCAACAAGGTGGAGGAATAAAAGATTTTGAAGTTGGAAACCGTGGAGACATTTAGAAAACCTGCCTATGTAAAGGCAACAATGAACATCAACCCTATTTTTACATTGTTTACAATAAAACTGCAGGTTCATGACAAAAAGTGCTTTTTTAAATTAAAAAAATTGTCTTCAGTTTTCTGATAAACATATATGACAATCACGGATCATGTAAGCTCTGGGAGTGTTCACTACTTTAATTGGATTTTAAAGCACATGCTAAAATTATTGTGATGGGTTTAACATTTAGTCATAGTTAGAGGACATCAGTTTAAATCAACAACCTTTACATATGTCATGACTAATTTAAATCTCACTGATATCATTACTTGGTTCCCACAATGAGCTACGTCACACCATATTTAATAATGTCCATCATCAATTGGATTATGTTGGCTGGATATATGTTGGCTGAAATTTATAGGTTATCAATCATTGGTTAACAAACTACAGCAGCTAACTGCACAAGAGCCAAAGCCAACTAAATTAGTTTATAACTTAGACTAAAATTTGCACCTAGCCATTTAAACTTCTAATAACTTTGTCCCAGTCAAATTATGAGGATAATTGAGTTCTACTGCTAATCTGGCTTCATTTAGTGTAATTTTTTGTACACACTAAAGACATTTAAATAAGGAATGTGGTTAGTGTCGACTGAGGATGTCAGATAAATAAACAAAGATCTTCATGGAATCCTATTTACAGACATTAAAAATCCAATATTTTTCAAGTATAGGTGTTCATTTTCATTTTTACTGCAAGTTAGAAATACTTTAAAAAAATAAGATGGAAGTGAAGGCAAACTCAGTTCAGACAATATTTTCTTTATTACTGGAATAAAATACATTAATAATTCATTTCTTGCACACATTGCATAAATATATGTGTGTACAGTTAAGTAGACTGTACATTAAATTTTGGAAAAGTGAGTAGCTAAATGGTGTAGTTGAAAAATCTGAACCCTGATGTTTTCTGCATTGTGTCTCACAATATTTATGTTATTGTGATTTCCATGTGTGAGTAAATTTCCTACAAATGCAGAACTGTACTATATATCCACTATCATTTCTAATCACTTTGCAGTGTGTCTTATATGAATCAGCTTAATGTGTTGCGAATAATGGCTAATAATTGCTATTCACCTACCATTAAAAACACAGCAACATTAGTTTTGCTTATTCTATTAAAGATGGACAACTCAATGTAAAATGTAAACTGATGTGTAAATAAAACTTCCAGACATGTCAATCTGATCAAATTTAATTCTTTTTCTTACTATACTAAAAATATTCATGTGGCATTCAAATATCACATGCATTCACATTAAAAAGCAGGTTGGTTGGTTCTTTTTATTATTTTTTTTTCAAATATACTTCCTATGTCTTATATTGGAACTTTGCTTGGTGACCCCTATTTATTTAAAAATGACTAATACAGCAGCTGCACATTTTACATTGGCTGCTAACCTTACGTAGGAAGTTAGCACCCACCTCTTTCCTAGAAAAATGAAATATCCTGGGAAATATTAAAAGGACAGAATATTTCTTCTAAAAAGAGTAGAAACTCCGAAGCAGAAACTTACCTCAGAAGCAGAAACTCACCCCCACCTTTGTTAATGGGTGGGCCATTAAGGGCTGGGCCGGAATACTTTACATAACAAAGATCTCCAGGTAAAGCTATAGCAATTCCTCGAAAGGCCTTTTCAGTGCATTATCATCCAGCAAGGCTCAACCAAACCTTGAACTCAGGGCAGCCTACAGAGTTGCTGCATGGCCTCATGGGAGTCTGACAACCAATCTGAATACAAGCTTCAATTCAAATCCCAACAAAGGTTATAAAACCCAGGCACTCTCAGCACCTAAGCACCTTTCTTGATCTCTTCCTTCACCTTGAAGCATGTGATCATCCTTCCTTTTCACTCTGGAGCTCCAGGCCATGTGGCCCTTCTGTCCACCATTAAACCTTCCAAACAGCCCCCATGTTTCCAGTGTCTTTTTTCCCCACTTGGAACTGAACCCAGAAAGATTTTTCTTCTAACACTTACGTTAATACTCTGCTGCTTTTCATCCTGGTGAAGTTTGTGCAAAACTATTTGGAATCCCCTGTTGCAGGCAGCTCTCTGTGTGTGGCTGAGCTGATAGATTCCTCATGCTTGCTCTTATAGAAGATAGTTCTACAAGGATTGTCATCAAAGGCAAATCATAGTATCCATTATATTCAATAGTTGGACATTAGTGGTTAGACTGGTTAGACATAGTGGACATTAGCACCCTTTACTAGATTTTTAATTTTCTTATTTCTATTTTGTATTCTGTATTTAAAATCAAATTATATATGCTGATATATATGTATAATTGATTCAATACTAACCAAAGAGAAGCTAACTCATTGTTTTAGAAACATTGATATCAATTCAGATCATCAACATGTTGCCAAGTAAGCTATAATTCAGTGGTGATACTCAGCTTTGGTTCCCCTTTTAAAGGACTTTGAACAGTGATGCAATTAACAGGAATACAAGAAAGTTTTCAAAACTTCATTGGCAAATAAATTTATTTTAGAGTTATATGCAAAAAACATAGATTGGATTAACATTTGTGCTAAACCATTGTAGGAAGTTAGCACTCTCCTAGAAAATTGAAATATCCTAGGAAATATTAAAAAGGCAGAATATTTCCTCTAAAAAGAGTAGAAACTCAGAAGCAGAAACTCACCCCAGAAGTAGAAGCTCATCCCTACCTTTGTTAATGGTGGGCCATTAAGGCCTGGGCCAGAATACTTTACATAACAAAGATCTCCAGGTGACTTCCGGTTTGAAGGGCTTCAGCGACAGACAGAAATCCGTGATCGTGCATGGTTTCTGTCTGGGCTCACCGCTGGAGCACCAAAAGTCGGCTGGTTTCAGGGCTAAGCCACTCCGTAGAGGTGGTGAAGAGGGGGGAGACCGCCAGCAGGGTTGAGGAGAGCTGCATTTCTCCTCCTCAGCTGGCCATTACTCCCTTTCCCGAAGGTGGCTGCAGCAATGGTCAGAAATGGCCACCACAAAGGAGAACTTGACCGGAAAAGAATGTGCAGGAGGAAGATAAGAAGTGAAAGTTTTGGCTGACCGGGTTAAATTGTAAAAGCAACAACTAAGGTATCCTGGAATTTAAACTTACAAAAAATGACATCACTCCCAAAGAAGAATCGGAAGCAGCGAAGGAAAGTGAAAAGGGAAAGGTTTGGTTTTTTTTTTTCTTCTCTCTCCTTCCCTATACTGACAACTAAGAGACTTAAATAAGAAATCGGAAAAATCCGCTTTGACATCAATAGGCAATTAAGCTGAAAATAAAACAAAATTCCAAAGAGATAATAAAGATTTCTGGACATTAAAATTTTTCTTGTTCATAAGCAGGAAGGGAGAGAAAAAGAATAAGGGCAGGATCTGGAAGAGGGAGGAGACTGCCTGGAATTAAAAAGAATCTACAGTAAAACTTCAAATAGACTTACAAAAGATACATTTTAACTGAAACTTTGCAACTAAATAGTAACCCCAGGAAGAGAAAGTGAAAAAAAAGAGCAAAAAGGAAACAGCTTGCATGTATTTGGATTATTTGGTGATCTTTGGATTCTTGGTTATTATATTTGAATGAATAAAATCAATTGGCTGGTTGTTTAATAATTTATACAATGGCACCACTTCTGGATGAATTGAAAATGGAACTTAAAAAGATTTGGAACTATGAAAAACAACAAGAAAAGACTGCAAAACAAGAAGACTGGGACAAAGAAGAAGCCATATTTAATGAACAAATAATTCTATGTGGGGAAGAAAAAGGAAAGGGGGGAAAGAGAATGGAGAATTTAAGACTTAAACCAAAGAAAAGAAAAGAAAAATAATTCAAAAAATAAGTATAATACTGGAAAGCAACAGAAAAGGGGAATACAGGAGAGAGAAATAGAGGTAGAGAGACAAGGGGGTAAAAAGGGGAGAGAAAAGAAGAGATGGAAGAAGGAAAGGAAAAGAAGTTACAAAGGACCGGAACAAGATATAGAGAAACAGGACCTATTTAGAGGTAATGGGTAAAAATCTAACTGAAAAGGGGATTCTGTAAAGGTACATAAGATTGTATTGTTATATTGATAATAGAAATAACTTTAGAAAATTGGAAACAATGTATGATTAAAATGAGGGATAAAATAGTTAGTGAAATTTAGTGAAATGTTTGTGAATAAAATAAGTGAAATAAAATAAATGAGAAAATTGAATTAGGAAGGAATGGGAACATTTTAATTAGTTAATGTTTTATAAAATATAAGTGAAGGGGTGGAATTAACTATGGAAAGCTTATAATTGTTCCCATAGAAGTATGATATTTAATTGAAAAGTAATGTTAAAGATGTTAAGACTTTAATGAATATTAATATTAATGATAGAATTGAATTGGAATGGAATGTTGTTTTAATTATATTATACATTTATAATTTTTTTCTTTTTTTAAGAATACAGTGTGTATTTTAAAAATGTACCAAGCAGAATCTGAATGGAAGTTACGTATTATATTGAATGTTACAACTTTAGGGAAAAGATATAAACGCGTCATACTCCAATCAGTAACTACAGGAGAAATTTTGTTTAATGAGAAAAGATAATAGATAATTGAAACAGGACAGACAAAAAATATAAATACAATAATTTGAATTGAGATGAGATAACTAAAATAAAACTGAGAAAATTAAAAGAGGGGAGAAGCTATGCAGAAAATGTAAAATAGTAATAAGATATGGAATAGAATATAAAAATGAGTATGAACCTGAATTTGTGTCTGTACGAAGAAATGTAACCCAGGATTACGCTACTTTCAAAAAAGATGTTTTATTTGTATTTTTTTTCTCTTTGTGAAAACTCAAATAAAATTTACAAAAAAAAAAAAAACCAACCCAAAGATCTCCAGGTAAAACTATAGCAATTGCCCAAAGCTCTTTCAGTGTATCATCCAGCAAGGCTCAACCAAGCCTGGAACTCAGGGCAGCCTACAGAGTTGCCCCTGCTTGGCCTCATGGGAGTCTGACAACCAATCAGAATACAGGCTCCAATTCAAATTCCAACAAAAGTTATAAAATCCAGGCACTCTCAGCACCTCAGCCCGTTCCTGATCTCTTCCTTCACCTTGAAGCATGTGATCATCCTTCCTTTTCACTCTGGAGCTTCAAGCCATGTGGTCCTCCTGTCCACCATTAAACCTTCCAAAGAGCCTTCATGTTTCCAGTGTCTTTTTCCCCACTTGGAACTGAACCCATGGGATATTTCATCCAACACCATCATATAGATTATTTTATGTGTTTATATATCCTATGAACCAAATGTACATTGCTTATTTTATTATCAAACTTGTATACTAATCTATGCCGCATAAGCACATAAGCATCAAAATACATATTGCTATCACAATACAAAATCAAAACCTTAAAAAAATTAAAGATACACAGATTGAAAAACAGTCATCATATTAGAGATAACATACAGTGTGTCATCCCAAGCCAACATAAAGCAACAAACCACTTAATTTCTGAATGTCCCACAGAAGAAATCTGCTTTAATTGTCTTCCTAAAACTTAGAAGAGTGGAAATCCATTGGAATTTCTGGGGCAAATTGTAGAAAGGGGATTCCTCCAAGAAAGACTTCTCCAATGGGTAGAGGTTATTACAGGGAAACAATCTCAAAGGAAAATGGAGCCATATCAAGTAGGATTTTTTTAGTTACCAACAGTACTTCAAGTGAATTCAGAAAACTATTGGCAACCAATGTAATCTCCACACAGGTATTGCAGTATGAATGCAGTTTCCATCAGTGAGCAAGTGGTTGATTGAAATCTGTCCCAGCTGCAGTTTCCAGATAGTTTTCAGAGAAAGTCCCAAGTACCACAAATTGCAATAGTCTATTTTCAAGGGCTGCTTAACTTCAAGTCAATTTCAAGAAGGTTTTCTTATCTAAAAAGGACGGCAACTGTTTTCTCTGCTTGTGATCAAGTTTTCAGATGGCTCCAAATATTCAGGATAGTGAAAACAAATATATACCACAAAAATTAAGGGGAATGGAAAATAAAATAGCAAGTTAGATTCCATATATGAAATAATGTACCTTTATAATCTAGAATTATAAATATAAATAGCATCATATCAATAGGCCATTTTAAATGCAACATGTGCTAAATGAAATGGAAGGCATATACCTTTAAAATAACCAGAGCTACGACTAATCTATGGTATGATACCATACCATATGGTATGGTAAATATTGGCTTTCAGCTTCATTTTAAATCAAGGGTCTTCAAACTTGGCAAGTTTAAGACTTGTGGACTTCAACTCCCAGAATTCCTGAGCTAACATGACTGGAGGAGGAATTATGGGAGTTGAAGTCCACAAGGCTTAAAGCTGACAAGTTTGAAGACCCCTGTCTTAAATCTTTGCCTGTGCTTGCAAGATAAGTGGGTATATAAGGAATGAATTTAAAGAGCTGCTGTTTTCTTAACCCTGCTTTTAATGAGTCACTTTTCAGCAGTATGTTATACCTATCATTAATGGCAGCAGATAATAGTATCTTGATTATTAAATCCCAAACAATGGCATGCTGAAGTTCCTTAAACATCGAGTGTCTGATATAGAATAATCTTTACCATCAAAGAAATGAACAAAGGCTTGGGGCAGACAAAGTCACCAACGCATAGATTATACCTGACCCTAACCAGCTGGACATCTATTGTCAATATTAGCATTGATATTACAAGGCAAGGTAGATTACCTTTCAGAAACATAAAAAGATAAAGGTTTCTTCTACCAGTAGTGCCTGACTCAAGAGTACACATCTCTGATTCACAGCCGAAGAAGCCAGTGTTGTCCAAAGACACTTCTGTGGTTATGTGGTCAGCATGACTATATGAAAGGCACACAGAACACTGTTATCTCCCCACCTATTTATCTATTTGCATGTGCTTTTGAACTGCTTAGGTTGGCAGGAGCTAAGCAAGTTAAACCTGTCACATGTTATTTAGGTCTTGAACATGCGTCCATGTTAATAATTCCAGCAGTGTATCATAGCACAGGTATGACCCAGACTTTGATGGCTTTAATGGTGTTTACACAGTTCAGTTTTATCTTTAGCATTTTCCTCACTGTTTGGATATATTCCTTACTAATCGTATTTCTAACATGTCTATGCTTGATCCCAAAAAGTGCCCAGATATTGGTTTTATCCTGAGGACTCCTGGTGGTCTAGCCATTCCCATTATTGTTTGTGCTACTGTAGCACATTAAATTGGGTTAAACTCACAAGTAGTAATGGGACTGAAATTGACATGTCTGACTATTATGTGTGGGTAATCTACTGTTAGATTCAGGAAATTGAATGCTTCAAGTCCTAACCAAAGACTTAAAAATTTTAATGTACAAGAATACAGGCAGCCAGTCAGTCTGATATTTATAAAATTGAGTTGTTCGGGTCTGATACATTCAATATTGTCATATATCAAGGAAATTATTTAGATATTGCTCTGAGGGATCCAAACACAATTGGTATAACTTTTTTTTCAATTTAAATTCCAGTCAGAATAGAGCTGGAAGGGACATTTGAAGTCTTCTAGTCTGTTGTCTAAAAAAAGTCTAACAACAGATTTCTAGTTCAGTTGCAAATCCCGATATTTCATCCTCCACCTCCCAAATATTTTTCCTCAATCCTAACATCAGCCAGTATAGCAATGAACCAGACTTTCTTATTTTCAATAACTGTTACATCAGGCATCTTATGCTTGATACATGAACAAGATCTTTGGAACTTAAAGTCTCATAAGACCTTAACCTGCACATTTTACAAAACCTTCTTAATATAATCATTCAGTTCATGTTTTTCTTCCTTCACAGTTTGTTTCATCTATAGAAGTCCTATACCATTCAGCTGTTGGCAAATGCTGTTAATCAAGATCATATTTGGAGTGCAAAGCATGGAACTCAAGAATCTTGGGAAACTCTAAAAAGTATGATCATAGAAGCCGAGACTAGCACAATACCACTGAGAAAGAAAAACAAGAAAGAAACCAGCGTAGATGCACAAAGATCTCTCTGGCAAATTGAAAGAAAAAAAGGACAAGTACAAAAAATGGAAAGAAGGACATGCAATTAAGGCACAATATCAGCAGATAGCCAGAATCTGCAAAGACGAAGTCAGGATAGCAAAGGCTCAGAATGAACAAGACTTGCAACAAAAGGCAAAGATAATTTTAAAAAGTGTCTTCCAACATATAAATAACAAGAAAAAAATCAAGGAAACAGTTGGTCTACTAAAGAGAGAAGATGGCAAGGAAGTAACAGGCAACAGAGAGAAAGCAGAGCTGCTTAATTCATTCTTTGCATCCATCTTCATGCAAAAAGAAACTATAGCTAAACCCACCAAAAACATAACTGTAAAAGACAGACCAGAAATAAAAGTTAAAAAGGCAAAAAAAATAGTAAGAGAACACCTGTTTGATCTTGATGAAAACAAATCACCAGGGCCTGATGGATTACATCCCAGAGTTTTCAAGGAGCTGGCAGAGGTCATCTCAAAACCACAGCACCATATCTTTCAAAAATCCTGGAGCAGCGGGGAACTACCAGAGGACTGGAAAAGAGCTCATGTGGTTCCCATCTTCAAAAAAGAAGAAAAACAGACCCAGCCGACTGCAGACCAATCAGCCTAACATCAATGCCCAGGAAGATACTGGAAAAGATAATAAAAAAACAGATCTGCCAACATCTAGAAACAAGTAAAGTAATAACTAGCAGTCCGCACGGGTTTGTTAAAAACAGATCATGCCAAACCAATCTTATTTCATTCTTTAACACGATGACTAAATTAGTAGACCAGCAAAATACTGTGGACATAATATATTTAGATTTCTGCAAGGCAAGAATGCTTAGAACGTTAACAACCAGTTCTAGCGAATAAATGTGAACCGTTAGAATCCCATCCCTGTGTGGAACCTTCTTGGAACTGCTGAAAGTACTACATTGTAGACAGGTGACAGTGGTGTCATATATCTCATCTCCGTTGAGAGAGGGCAGCTCGATTTTAACAAAGATGGCCCCTTTTAGACCTCTTTCAAACCAGTGGCCTTTTTGTCCCAAATGTAGACCTTTGCTGTCTTCAAAAGAGTGACCTTTGTCTTTTAAGTGCAGATCGACTGCTGAATCTTGTCCTGATGGGTTTGTTTGTTCTCCTATGCTATGACATGTTTTTGTGAAGTGGTTGTTTTGTTTCACAATGTATAGATCTTAAGTTCACATATCTCACTGCAAAATACTGCATATATCACATCGTTCAGTTTGTATCCAGATGTTTTATCTTTGGAGTGGACAAACATCTGTCTTAGCACATTCTTGGGTTTGAAGTATGCGTGTTTATTGTGTTGGCTGAAAATCTTCCTGAACTTTTCAGATATTCCAGCAATGTGGCTTTCAACAACTCTTAGACAGCTGACTACTGAACTTTAGAATGTGAAAGGCCAGTCTTCAGATGACTGTTACAATAAATAAATCCCTCCATTCTCCACTGAAAAAATTTCTTGAATGACATGAATAGAAATGTGAATAGAAATTGAAAACAATCCTATCTATGTGTCAAACATAACTGGGTTGCGTGGGAAATATAAAAACATGTTTCTGGTTCTTTCAAATAATTTACTTAGTTAACTCAGATGTAGTTAGATTTGACTTCCAAGATTTGACTTCCAAGATATCTAACTTTTTTCATTTCATGTTAAGTTGACCCCTGTTATTCTGAGATGGCATTCAAGAGATCCCCTTCAAACAAGGGTCTATTTGTGTGGGGACTATGTGACCTCCCTCATAGGAAGGGAGGGGAGGGATGGATAAGAAGTCAGACAGACAGACAAGAGCAGCGTAGATAAATCTTCCAGAATTTGTACAAATATTTTTCCTTTCCAGAAATTTCTTAGATCTAGATATTACAATGAGGTATAAAAGATTTGAGAATAAATTATCTTCTGCAACAAACTCCTGCAAGGAATAGCATCTGTTTGTCATTACATTTGTTTTGTGCTTAATGCTGGATTCCTCGCTACAGTTTACCTTGAAATGACTCATTTCAACCTTTAGACAATCTCAGTTCCAGGAATATGGTTGGAGCAACCATGACTTGCCTTCCATGTTTGCTACCATTGAGCAACTAGATTGTCAAAAAACAAATTGAAGAGCTTGTGCAAGAGCTGTTGGGTCACCAAACTCAGAGATTGCAATATGCCTGGGTAAATAGAAAGAAAGTAATCATTAACAAAGGAAGGGGAGGAGGATGGACAAAACAAAGATAGAAATATAACCAAAAATGCCTAAGTGAAAGGTATTCCTTGTGCCACATCCATACCTTTCTGAAGATGCTTCAGCTAAGAATTCTCTGTGCACTTCTGTCCTTCAGCATCGCCTTGGTATGAATATATTTTATCTAATTCTTTCTTTACTGGTTGTACTGATTTGTGTTCCTTCTATTGCCTATTTAAGGAGTAACATATTTCATCCCTTCACTATCAAATACATGGTAATGTGAACAAGAACAAGCTTTTCCACTTCAAATATTCTCTTAGGGGTGGTATAATTCTTGGACCAACTTGGATGTTTGTTGATAAAATTTGTATTTACCTTTATGTGCCCATGTGTAAAAATCTCACTGACACATTTAGCTCCTACTTATGTTTAATGACTTGCATGGAATAAGTAATTCAATCTTTGGAAAGCCAGAAAAACTTTGTGATGCAGTTCATACCCTGATATATCTTTGTGTTTTTAAATGCTCACGAAGACTGTTTATAATCTTGCTTGCTTAGAAACCGTGCGTGCTTTATAAATATTTGACTAAAAATATAGTATACATTATTCATATGCATTTCCCCTTATATTTTTATACAAAATCTAGATGTCATGTTTGAACATGTTATCTATAATATTAATAAAGAAAAAATATTTTTACATGCTTACATTTCTTCATAGGATTGTCAGAAGTCAGGCTCACACAGGGGCACTTAACTACAATTGCATTACCATAAAACTAATATTGATTTCTACTTAGAAGTTTCATTGATTTCAAAGATTTCTGCCGTATTCTAAACAAAAAAGCTGGGACAATGAAACTCATGTAGACAGCATATTTCAGTCATTTTAACAGCTGCTGTGAAAGTCCAGCTCTCGTGATAAAAAGGCAGTCCAAGACATGCATTGTCTTGCATTCATTGATTCATTGATTACTTTGTAATCCCTAGTAACATTTGAACAAGCAGGATAGAGTATTGCTGATTTTAATCTTTTGTTTTAGGTTTAATCATTTGTTATCAATAATCCAATAATCCTATCCTTAGGACATTATCTTCATGTGCATCAAAAGCAACATAGTTCTAGAAAAGCCCCAATCCAGAATAATTTGTGACATCATGATTTGTTTTATAAATTATTTTTATAATAGCATTTGAAAATCCTTTGGTTTGAAGATAGAGATAATTTTGTATTTGAAATAAACTATACACAGCTTATACATCCTATACTAAATGCACATGAAGTTATCAGAATTATTACAGTATTGTAATACTGTAATAATTCTGATAAGTTCATGTGCATTTTGATGTAGTCAGCATCTAAACACAGAAAGCTGTTCTTCATTTAATGTTCTATTTTTCTATTTTTACTATAATAGTTAATAAGAAGAAAGAATTTTTCTGTGTATCAGTCCATTCACTTGACAATTTGAAGTCCCATGACAGAAAGTACAATATGTCTTCTAATTAAATGGAGAGTCAAGTTGAGCTATTTGACATTCTTGTATTGCAATCTGTATTGCAATTGCTAATTTTAATATACAACTAGATATATAAGGTTTTATATATTTTGTAATACATTAATTTATCGCTAAGAACACTGTGGCCTGAACCCAAACAAATGAGCCGCATTGATTGAAGTCAGTGGGATTTAAATTAAACCTGATTAGATGTTACTGTGTGCTTCCATGGACCCTTATCAAGAATTTTTAATGTAATGTCATCTATTTATAGGAAAAGGGGATTTTTTTTTTTCCTAGTGGGGAAATTACTCACTTAATCCATATTTATAAAACTAGGAAGTAGGCACCTATTGCCAGAGATGGAAGCTCTTTTTGAGACTTGATGAGTTTTGTTTTTTTGAATGATAGTTACCTATTGTATTTATTTAAAAAAAGAATAGTCCATTGGTTTGAAGCAAGTATCTAAATGTATGGTAGTTGATGATTATTTTTAGCAAATACTAAGGATTATCAACTAAAAAGGTATCATTTATGGAAGGAATTATTACTGTGTGAATGTTCAGCCTTTAATTCCAGCCTTAATTTGGTCTTTTTTTTTAACCCTCATTTTTTTATTTCATCACAGGTGACAAGTAATGAATCTTCTCCTTCAGAACTAGGACCACGTGGTTCCAGAATAGTAGAGCATAAAACTCAATCTAACTGCAAATCTGATGACGATTGGCCAATATGTGCGGATGAAGACTGGGTAAGCCAAAAGACAACAGTAAACCAACGTGTGTCTCATGCTATTTGTCCCCATTGTAATAAATATATTAGATAGAATGTTTCACTTAACAACCCTGACACAGGACTCACTTTGCTTAGCGACCAAAATTCTGGTTCCAGTAGTGTTCATAACCTGAGAACTACCTATACTTTGTAACATCTGAAAATGTGTCAATTATTTGTCAATTACTTTGTTTCCTTTTACTTTGTTTCTGTTATTTAGGGTATTAAATGTCCCTCAGGCTGCAGGATTCAAGGACTGATAGATGAAACAAATGAGGATTTTCAAAACAGGATAGAGAAGGTTAAGAGGGAGCTTTTGGATAACCAAAATAGTTACAAGTCATCTAATAATTTTAAACAAGAAATTTTTAACTATCTGGAAAGAAATCTGCCCAGTGAACAAGGTGAGTTTGATCCCAGTTATATGAAGACTAAAAAAATGCCTGTATAATTGGCCACCACACTATAAAAAAGATGTTGAGACTCTATAAAAAGTGCAGAGGAGAGCAACCAGGATGAAGAGGTGAAGAGATCAAGCTATTTTCCAAGGTACCTTAGGGGCAGACAAAGAATAATGGATGGAAACTGATCAAGGAGAGATTCAAACTAGAAATAAGGATAAATGTTTTGACCAGTGGTGGGATTCATTATTTTTTTACTACCAGTTCTGTGGGCATGGCTTGGTGGGCATGGCAGGGGAAGGATACTGTAAAATCCCCATTCCCTCCCCACCCCACTAACCTGCTTTCCAGCTCCCTTCTCCTGTGCAGGAGAAGACCCACCCGCTCATTGAGCTGGGACTCAATGAGAGGCAGTGGGGTTGGCGGGGCCAGTCAGACATGGTATTTGCTGGTTTTCCAGACTACTCAAAATTTCCACTACCGGTTCTCCAGAACTGGTCAGAACCTGCTGAATACCACCTTTGGTTTTGACAGTGAGAACAATAAACCAATGAAACAGCTTTCCTTCGGAAGTTGTGGGAGCTTCATCAGGGGAAGCTTTCAAGAAGAGATTGACTGCCATCTGCCAGAAATAGTGTAGTGTCTTCTTGGGCAGGGAGTTGGACTAGATGACTTCCAACTCAGATGTTAATCTGGTTTTTTTGTTTTGTTTTGTTTTTGTAATTTAAAGATATATAAAATTCTTTGAATTCTCCATCCTCAGTGTACCTGGAGAGCAGATGGGAAAGGCTGGCTCATAAAATAATTGAGTTTAAATATCATTAGCTTTTTCTTTAAAAAAAAAAACATACTTGTTTTACCTCAGAATTAAAACTGTTTGACATAAATTGTTAAAAAAAAACCACATTATTATCTAATTCTGGCCTATTTGCGGTGTTTTCCAGATCACAAAAAATGTTTTTACCCATTACTTAACAAAGTCTTAGAAAACTATTTCTTCCAGTACGTTATTTTTTTCACTTTTCCTTCTGGGTTAATATAAGGATTAGGAGCAAAGGCAGGAAATCCTATTCCAAATTATGCATGCTTAATATGCACTGTTTCTAAGCTACCTGCTCATTATTTGATAGACTGCACCTAAAACAGAAATACAAACAATGGTGTACTCCAATATTATTACTAATGATGTAGTCCAATATTAATTGGGACCACTTTGAGTGGGAGACAATTCTTTGGGATGATAGACTAAGAAAAAGGCCACAAGAGATGCGATGAACTCTTGAAGAAAACACAGTAGAGAGATTCCTATATTAGTCCATAGCTATACTAAAAAAAAAATAAGTAGAAGGGAGGGGAAAGGACATTAAGGAGGAATTGCAGATATAGTATTCTATCCCTAAGTCTCTATCCAGGCTTACAAACACATATAGAGTAAGTACTGACTGCTATACAGATGGTTCCATCTAATTTTAGAGACACCAAACTGGGAAAGCTATGTAGTTTTGGTTAATGCATATATTTTTTTTGGATCACTTACACTGTATAAAGGGCTGCGGCTATACTGTACTAACTTCTTTTCTTTCAGAATTAAATACGAACTATGGACAAATATCTGATGACCTAAGAAGGAGGTTGGTGACACTGAAACAGAGAGTTGCTAATAAAGTAGAAAGGATTAAAACCTTGCAGAACTCAATCCAGAATCAAGTTGGAGAGTTGAAACGTTTAGAGGTGAGTTGTATTATATTTTTTTTAAAAAAACGTATATTTTAAAAATGCTGGAGCAAATATCTCCCTATGGTCCTTTTTATCAATTATATGTTTCAATGAATGAGGCAGTTTCAGCAAGCACTGTGGGATTAGAAAACGATATTTTTTTTGGTAGGGTTGATAGTCTCCCTTCTTCCCTCCCTCCTTCCCTCCCTCTCTCTCTTCCTGAAGCAACCTTTTATTGTGTTATTTTACTATGTTTAAATAATCTGTTGGTAGGTAAAATCAAAAATGTGAATCAGCATTAACCTGGAGGGGCTATAGTCTCCTTTCCTTTTTAAATTTTGTAGCGGACAGCCAGGGAAAGGATATTTAAAATCTGCAATTTCTTTGCAGAAAACTTTTCAAATTATATCAAGGGTCATGTGAAATGAAGCCATGGGCCAGATATAACTCAATGGTTGCAGATGGCCCATCTGTATTTATGGTAGAATTTGGCCTTTATTTATTTACTTATTTTTAAACAATTTTATTGGTTTTTAAAGACAAACAAAACAATTTTATTGTTATTGTACATAAAACATCCAGCTTTCTTTCATAAATATACAAGCAGTGTGTCGGTTGGTTTACCAATTTTTTGTGCATCCGTTTCGTAGTTTCAGTTACAGTTATACTACATAATAACTCATCTTATCAATCAGAAATTAAATACCCTAGTATCACTATTGAAATGATTGTTCAATAATTTGGCCTTTCCTGAAGTAGCAAATGGGCTACGATCAGCAATGGCTTGACAAGTGTACTTTATTTTTAATGGTTATGGGGCAGCAACTAGAGTTACAACTCGGAGAGATTTAGGAGTAAAAGTTGACTTACAAATTTCTACATTTCTCCACCCCCTCCCCAAATCTTCATGCCTAGGTGGACATTGATATTAAGATACGTGCCTGCAAAGGATCTTGTGCTCGTGTTTTCAACTACAACCTGGACACAGAGAGTTATGGAAACATACAGAAGCAACTCGTACAAGTTAATGCCATTAAACTGGTGTCAGAAGAAAAAGTTGCTCCCCTCAAGTCCCTGAAAATAACACAAGTGAAGGATTCTATTGCTCCCAGTCACTATAAATCTAGTCCTCTAACTGACCAGGAAGCAAATATACTTGACAGTATAAAGGTGTTTAAGGTAGTATTGGAAGATTCTAAAGGATCCATAGCAGACACCAAATATGCTGCTCCCGGAACATCTGGAAAACCATCCACAAGCACAGTAATAATAAGACCTGCTACGGACATTCATACCAGCCGTACATGCATTAAAACCATCACTAAAAAAGTCATACGTGGGCCGGACGGTTTACGAGAGGAGACGGTGGAAGAATTTAAAACTCCTGATGGTTCAGATTGTTCCGATTTGAAAGGTTTCCTTAAAGAAGCTATCAGTAGTGGAGGTGGAGGAAGCGGGTCTCACGACTTTGTCCCCCAATATCCAGGTGCCAATTCTGAAACCCTATCAGTCAGCCACACAAAAACACAGGGAGAGGACATTTTTTCAGAAATAGGGGAGGGAGAATTCGATGACTTCTCGAGATTTGACCACTTCTCCCATGAAGGCAACACCAAGACAGTCGTAGAAACCAAGTCAAGGAGAATTGTTGAAACAGGTGGCTTTGTAGAAGAAATACAACATGATGAAACTACAGAGCACAACACTGAGTTACAAGGGCAAAGCTTGAATGCAGAACAGAATCCTGGGAAAGGCAACACCGGGACAGGTATCCATCCAGTTCATGGAAAATAATTGTGGAGGGAGCAAAAAATGAAGTTTGCAACCAAACTGACACAAATACTACAATCCATTACATTGTTCAGTTAATGAAAGCCATGTGTCTGTTTGTTGCTAGTTAAGAAAGGGTGGGGTACATTGATTTTTTATCATGAGTCATTGGTTAGCAAGGCAGTTTCATACAGAATGGCAGAGATAATGCATTTAAATCTAAATATACTTTTTGGGTGGGGGATGATGCAAGCTGTCTTTCCATGTGTAGCCCAACATTTAGCGTAGACAGTTGACTTCAGCAATATTACTGATGGATACCTGTGAGCTTGTAATAAAACTTAACTGAAAACTTCTGTCAACTTGATCAACTTTGTTTTTTTAGACTGTGAGGATATCCACCAAAAACACACTTCTGGTGCCCAAAGTGGCACTTTCAGAATCACGCCAGCAGGATCCACTAAGGTTTTTTCAGTTTATTGCGACCAAGAGACTACTTTGGGAGGATGGCTTCTGATCCAACAGAGATTGGATGGGTCATTGAATTTTAACCGGACCTGGGAAGACTACAAGAAAGGTTTCGGCAGCTTGGATGTGAAAGGGAGGGGAGAATTTTGGTTGGGCAATGAACATCTCCATCTCCTGACTCAGAAAGATACTGTCCTTCGGGTTGAACTAGAAGATTGGGAGGGTGATAAAGTTTATGCAGAATATAATATACACATCGGTTCTGAATCTGAAGGTTATAGGCTCAGAGTCACTAATTATAAGGGGACAGCAGGGGATGCCCTGATGAGAGGTTCAGAAGAAGATGGGAGTGAATATACAGCTCACACGAACATGAAATTTAGTACTTATGACCGAGACAACGATCAGTGGGAGGAGAATTGTGCTGAGGTGTATGGAGGTGGCTGGTGGTATAACAACTGCCAAGCTGCTAATCTCAATGGTATTTACTACTCAGGTGGTCAGTATGATCCAAGGAACAATGTTCCTTATGAGATTGAAAATGGAGTGATTTGGTTATCCTTTCGGTCATCAGATTACTCTCTCAAAGTTGTGAGAATGAAAATTCGGCCAGTGGAAACAGACTAGATACCGATCCTAATGTTTAATCCAACTTCCCAAACAATATATACCTCAAACATATGTGCGTGTGGTGTGTATTTGTGCGTGTGTGTGTGTGTGTGTGTGTGTATGTGCTTCTTTACTATCTGAATGCAACTGAGTGATACCTACTTATTAAACAAAATAAACAGATTCACACTAATACATTTTTCTGGTGTATTTAACTTATTTTGTAAAATAAAAAGGAAGGCTCTCTATATTTTGTAACTGTGTGAAGACCTACAATGAAACCAGATTTTAAACCATTTCAGTGGGAAAATATTGACAGCGCAAAGAATTATATTTATATATAATCTGTGGCAGAAAACTAGGGGAAAAGTGGAAAGAAACAGAATTGTACTTTTATTATTGCATAAATGGGATGAGATTCTGATTTGTAAAATAATGAAGCAAAATCTTCTTAGAAAGGAATTTATTGTTAACACAACATTTTGAAATGTGGCGCAGGAGCATTTATTATCAGTGTGATGAAACAATATTGCAGGGAAACCTAAAATTACATAGGAAATCTACTCCAACCCTACCTCACACTATAATAGTTGAATATTCACTGAGGAAATATAATAATCTCCAACACTGACAAAATTAATTACGATTTCCATTAGATTCTCAAATAACTGCACAAGAAGCTTCTTGGGTGTTCAAGCACTTTTAAGAAAGAAAGGAAAAACAATTTTGGAGTTCTCAAAGATCTATTGGGAAACAGGGCGCTTTTTGTTCAGCTTCATACTGACTTGAACACCGCATTTAATGGAGTTGTACTGTGGTGGGCAACCACTCACCATCTTCTCTAATTGCATGGCAACATTTTCAGCTTCTGAGGCCATAACCACTTATCACCGTTCTCTCATCACATGCTTACTTGCCCCTGATCTGTCTTGATTTATTTGAGCAAGATAAGAAAAGGGTGACTTGATGAATCTAGAAAATGGTGATGGAATGGTCTTGTAATTCCACCGTGTTCACCTGAATAATCATTTCCTGGATCTAAAGGTTTTCACCAACTGTACTGCCCACTCTGAAACATTCTTTTGGAAGACATACTTGAAGATGGGGATTCTGTGTAGTTGCGGATGTTCGTGGAAACGTCCATTTATCTTAATCATTTTAGCCTGGATTTGGGACAAATCAGTCATAGCCTGACACACTTCCCATGGAAACAGACCAAGAATGTGTATTTTATTTATCCTAATTCATCTCTCTGTGTCTTTAGAATAACACTTTCCTGAATCAGGGAAGCAGAGTTTTTCTGTGATTCTTCTCTGATATGTAGAAATGGCGTACAGATAGTACTTAACTTAAATAGTTCATTTAGTGACTGAGGTTACAATGGCACTGAAAAAAGTGACTGCCATGCCCTTGTCAGACTCTGAGGGAGAGGAGGAACAGCCAACAGGGAGTGGAGGTGTGGCTCTGGAGGTTGTGGAGGAGGCTGGGGAGGGGCAGAGGCCGGCCGGTCCGTCAGAGAAAGAACCAGGGCCATCCCCTCTTCATCCTAGGACACACAGGGAGGAATGGAGAAGGCAACAACTTGGCTTATGTGAGAGGAAGTGGCCATGATCCCCTTCATTGGTTGCAGCTGGAGAGAATAATATATAAGAGAGATGGTTGCAACATAGCATTGCCAGAAGCAAAGTGTGTTTTATTTTGGGCTGAAGTTATCTTGGTTGGAGTCCTTCCAACAGACTCTGCCTTGTTATCTCCTTGAAGCTGGTAATTACTTATCTGGATCCATTGTGGAAATTCCTTCATTGTAGTTTGTTTTAGTTTTTTATTTCACCTCTATCTGCTCATTAAGTTCAGACTGTATTGCTTTTTTTTTGAAGACCATTTTTGCATAAGTGTTATCTACAACTGTGAAGTATTGAACAGCGGGGCCAAGTTGGAGGCATTAAAGGACATTTATTTATGTTTTGGATTTTGTTATGTTTGTGTTACACTCCGGCTCATCACAGAGACTTACAGCCATTTCCCAAACTTACAACCATTGCAGCATCCCCATGGTCACATGATCAGAATTCAGATGCTTGGCAACTGACTCATATTTATAGCAGTTTCGGTGTACCAGGACTGAAGCCACATTCACTTAACAACCATGTTACAAATAGGTCTCAACTCATAGCCATAATTGAGCCCAAAATGGATGTTGCTAAGTGAGACATCTGAGCCCCATTTTATGACCTTTCTTGCTACAGTTTTTAAGTGAATCATGACGGTTGTTGAAGTTAGTTACAGGTTTGTTAAGTGAAACTGATTTGCCCATTGGCTTTGCTTGTCAGAATGTCACAAAAGGGAATCACATGATCCCAGGATACTGCACTGAAAAAAAGTCAATTTTTTTCAATGATGTTGCAATTTTGAATGATCACTAAATGAATTGTTGTAAATCAAGGACTACCTGTACTAACTTAACAACTGCAATGATTCACTTAGAACTGTATCAGGAAAGGTAATAGAATAGGGCCGTGATGGCAAACTTATGGCATGTGTGCCACAAGTGGCCTGCAGAGCCATTTGTGCCGGCACGTGGGCTGCAGGCAAACTTACCCCACTGCACATGCATATGTCTCACAGCTGATTTTTGGCCAGTTTGAGGCCTTTTTTGGCCTCCAAGAGGCTTGAGGAAGGCTTCTGCAGGCTTTGCAGGCCGCAAACTAGCCCCATTTTGTCACTTCCTGTTTTTCTGACAATACTGGAAGTGATGAAACAGGTCTAGTTTTCAGCCTGCTACTACTATCTACTATTGACCTCACCCCTTTCCTAAAAGGTTTGTAGAGGGCGTGCATAAGCACACCAAAACGTGCCTACCGTCCCTGTCCTATTGTTTCTTTTATTTTTCTTATATATATCCATGTATATTTGTTTTTACTTATACCTATTATCTTGTAAGCAATTGACAAACCAAATAAAATAAAATAAATAAATAAATAATACTAAGGCCCATTTTAAATATTAGGGCAGACATGTGATGTACACATGAAAAAGACAAGCCAGAAACTCAAAGGTTAGTTTACAAAACCCTGTTGCTTAATATTTGCAGAGAAGTAAATTCCAAAACCTTTCTAATCAGTTCAGCTAATCAGTTAAAACAATTATAAGTTTGGTTAAGAAATCTTTCTGAATGACGGCAACTATGGGCAAATGCTAATCTATATATAAGCACTTGCTCTCAAATACCAGCTGCACAATTATAAATTGGATTGTCATGATAGGATACAAACTGTTAAAAAAAAAAACAGACCTCATAAAAGAGGAGGTGGAATTGCACTGTATGTAAAAGACCACTATATTTCTACAGAAATGCATGAACCCAAAGACAAAAGCCTCCTAGAAAGCATATGGATCAATATAAAAGAAAAAAAGAATGACATGGCCCTGGGTGTATACTATACGTCACCCAATCAAGCAGAAAAAAATAAATGTCCTTTTTGCCAACCACCTAACAAATATATGTAGGAAACACACTACAATGGGGGACTTCAATTACCCTGATATCAATTAAACTAATTCTGCACCAAGTGAGAAATCAAATAGGTTCCTAACCAACCTGGCTGACAACTTTGCTGTCCAAAGACAAAGGAGGGAACTAGAGGGACAGCCATACTGAATGTAATTCTTACAAACAGAGAAGAAGTGATAGAGAGAGTTGAAACTGCAGGAACCTTGGGGTTCTGCTGTGAGCTTCTTTGGCAACAGACCAAAACCTCATCTCTCTGAGGCTTCGATCCATGCTCGCCGCTGGAGCGCTCCGAGCCGGCTGGTTTTGGGGCTAAGCCACCCCATAGAGGTGGTGAAGAGGGGGGAGACTGCCTGCAGCGTTGAGGAGAGCCGCATCTCTCCTCCCCAGCTGGCCATTACTCCCTTTCCCGAAGGCGGTTATAGCGGTGGTCAGAAATGGCCACCACAAAGAAGAACTCAACCGGAAAAGAATGTGCAGGAGGAAGATAAGAAGAGAAAATTTTGGTTGACTGGGTCAAACAGCAAAAGCAACAAATAAGGTACCCTGGAATTTAAACTTAACAACATTGTTTCCAAAGAAGATTTTGAAGCTGCGAAGGAGAGAAGGGAAAGGATTAGGTTTGTTTTTTTTTGCTTCCCTTCCTTATACTGACAGCTAAGAGACTTAAGCAAGAAACTGAAAAAAAAAATCCACTTTGATATTAATAGGCATCTAAGCTGAAATTAAAAGTCAAAGGGATAATAAAGATTTCTGGATAATAAAGTTTTTAAAAGCAGGAAAGGAGAAAAAAAAAGAATAAAAGGGCAGGATCTGGAAAAATGGAAAAGACTGCCTGGAATTAAGGAATGGAACTGTAATTCAAAGGAACTTACAGTGAAATTTTAACAAGATTCCTCAAAGATACATTTTAATTGAAACTTGGTAACAAAATAATAGAACCCCAGGAAGAGAAAGTGGAAAAAATAAGCAAGTAGAAACAGCCTTGGATTATTTGGATTATTTGGTGATTTTTGGTTTTTGCATCTAGATGACTAAAATTAACCGGGTGGTTGTTTAAAAGTTTTTAAAATGGTATCACTCTTAGAAGAACTGAAAATGGAACTTAAAAAATGGAAAGAAGATGCACAAAAAGGGAGAACTTCTTTTGGCTTCAGGTTTCAGTTCTTAGAAATGGAGATCTGGAACTATTAGAAGCAACAAGAAACGCTTGCAGAACAAGAAGATTGGGACAAAAAAGAAGCCATCTTTAATGATCAAATAATTTTAAGTGGGGGGGGAAAAGAAAAGGGGGGAAAGAGAGTGAAAGGTTTAAGACTAGAAAAAACAACCAAAAAGAAGAACAGTTTGAAAGATAAGTATAATATTAGAAAGCAACAGAAGAAGGGATTACAGATGAGAGAGTTAGAAGTAGAGACGAGGGGGTTAAAAGGCGAGAGAGAAGAAGAGGGGGAAGAAGGCAAGGAAAAGAAGTTGTAAAAAACAGAAACAAGAAATGGAGAAACAGAGAAAAGATATAAGGATTGTAACCATAAGCTTGTTTAGAGATAATGGGTGAAAATTTAATTGCAAAAAGGACTCTGCAAAGGTCCATAAGATAGCATTGTTAAATTACAAATAGAAATAATTTTAGAAAATATGATGATGGATAAAATATTTACTGTAATGTAGTGGGATGTTTGTTAATAAATAAATGAATTAAAATGATTGAGAGAATTAAAAG